TGCTTCCTGAGTAAATAATTTTCATATTTATCAGATTCAGCCATCAGATAATTCTAAAAATATTCATCAGTGCTCTCAAGGGCATTTTTTTCTGTAGTTGGCTGTTTGGGTACCAAGTTACGATCAACAGTGAAGTTTCTCACAGTTTCATTGTACGTTGTATCAAAGGTTATCAGGTGGCTGTGCACATCCTTGATAATTCTCCCTAAACTGTGACTAAAACTAGGCCAAAGGGAAGTGGAACGTTATTCATCTCTAATGATTAATCAGAACAGTCTTGGTAACCTTTTCTGTTTGATGTTTCTTGATACTAATTTATTGCTTCAAAGTCTGATTTACTATTTAATTTTCTATTTTCTCTTTCAATGTTACTTTGTATAATTGATACTTAAGTTGTACTAGGTACAAGTATAAATGTGAAGACCTTAAAAATATACCCTGGCCCTGTTAGGTTCAAGACAAAAATAATTTTTAAATAAAGTACTAGACTCTCATGAAGCATATTCAGAATTCTAGGGTTGTAACACTTTTAGCATGATTTTGTTGAATATACTCTGCATATTGTTTCTCTACATTTGAAATAATCCCAGTGCTCTTAGCCTTTGCAGGTCAGAATTTCCTGCCTTTAACCGTCTATGTGATTTTCTTTGAGCTCATCTAAAATGTTATAACCTCCACTGATCTTTATTTTAGAGTGCTTTGGAAGCCGTCTGGCCTGTGAAGAAGGGAAGTAGAAAGTAATTTTGGGGTCTAAATCCTGAAAATAATGCCACCACCCAGCCTTTTTAGCTTTAAAATACAACTTTGAAGAAGGATGTGTCTGGGACTATTTTGGCAACCCAAAAGATACCCAATTTTGATGTACTCATTTATTTTCTCAGAATGATAGTCCTTTCTTTTATTATAAAAAGAATGTATCACCTGCTGCAGCTGGATGTTGAGACTAATTCAGATAGATTTTACTAGAAAAATATCCTCCAAACAATAGTTCTCCAGAGAACAAAACTCATCTTAATGTTATAAAAAAAAAATGCCACTTGCTGTCAAGTGGATTCCAATTCATAGCAACTCTATAGGACAGAGTAGAACTGCCCCATAGGGTTTCCAAGGCTGTGATCTTTACAGAAGCAGACTGCAACACATCTTTCTCTTGTGGAGTGGCTGGTGG